CGTGCACACAGAGTGTTACGCGGACTACAGGTTACTACAAGCTTTCAGGCCAACGCGCGGCCTCCAAAAAAAATTTGGCTGCCCGTTTCTTATTTTACGCGAGCAGGGGGCCGGGTCTACTACCGCCCCTCACAAGTTTTTTTTTTTTTTTTCGACCCCCATTTTTGGAGGTGCGCCGCATGCAGTGCGCGCGCGTCGTGCCGGATGCGCGGTGCGGCTCACGTGCGCAGTACAGCGCATCGCGATGCGCCGCATGTATGATATATATGTAAAAAAGGGCGACGGCCTTGAGATATGAAGATTGAGCCGACCGGCCCCAGGTAATTCACAATTAATTCTGTTTGTCGGATCGTAGCTGGATTCGAACTTGGGTCTGTATTTCAACAGTTTATTGGGTCTTCCAACTGAGCTAGGCCGGGTGGTTTCATTGCATATGTTTTGTATTTTTACTTAAATTTATTTTCCCTTTCTGCTGCATGTGTGTTTTCACAGACTTTCTGATGCAGACTACATCAACATCAGCAGGCACACACAGAACACACATGCAGCAGAAAGGGAAAATAAGTTTAATAAACTTTATTATTTTAGTAAAAAAAAATGAAAAATATTTTCCCTTTCTGTGATCGCGAAGGAGAAGCAGGCACGCAAATGCCATTGATCGTGAAGGATCCATCGTTCGATCGGACAGTATTACCTCCATCAATCTCCTCCGCCCCCCGCCCTCAGCCCCCCCTGCTTCTACGTCAAGTCCTCTTCTCCCACCACCCCCATCATGCATCCCATCTCCACTCATCGACAAGTCCTTCGGCACCTATATAAGACATCCTAATTAGACATCCACGTTCCACTAGTCATTGTACGCTCTGTCTCACCCATTATTCCGTCATTCCCATTCCCGTCTACAGATTGCCACAAGTACCCCCTCGGAGCTGTTCCCCCTTCCTGAGTCATCTGCGGAGCTCACTCTCGTAGTGAGGCTCCTCTCCATAAAGGTCATCTCTGTGTTGGCGATCGTGTTGTGGGCGGTGCAGTTGCATCCCTGTTTGTGCATCCAGTCCGCATTATCGTGGCCTGTGTTTCCCGCGTTATCGTCGCCTGTGCATCCCTGTTTTGAATGCATCCTCGAAAACGTTCAGATGTTATCAAATTCTCATAAGGATATTGAAGAGTAATAGCTGATCGATTTATATGATTGAGAGTAACTATAAATCCTTGACCTGAACAAGGAAAAATTCTTTCAAAGAGAGTGAACCGACTTACATCAAAACAACAACGTACCATGACTATAGCTATTAAAAGAGCTCGTATATTGGCATTGATTCCTTTTTTGAATAATGAAAATTAAAGATTTAGATACAATATGAATAGATTTATATCTTGTAWGTTGCATATCAAGTATATAAATCATAATCAACAACGGATTAGTCTGTTTTATAGATTTATTTCATTTTCTTATTCTTTTTCTATCTACTTCGATGAAGTAGATAGAAAAAGAAGAAGAAAATGAAATATTCACAGCGCAGGTGCATCCCTTATTGCGCCTTGATCTATTTCAGGAACACCCTCTCGCATGGGCAATGGCCTGTACTCTCAGGTCAGCTTCCCCCTTCTCTCTCTACTTCACCCAATTTTCACCTAAAAAAAGGCATACTCACCCAATTTGTCTGACGGAGGAGCAATCGTCCAACCCTTTTTTCAATGGCCGATTGCTTGAAAGCACTCCTTTCCTGAAAATTGCCTTCTCTGTAAGCTTTGCCAAACTGCCAGGAGGGCACTTCTTTTTTTTCCTTTTTTGGCTCCTTTTTTGGCTGCTGCCGCGAGCCATTGTGGTCCGGTAGCCAAACTGCCTGCCGGCGTTCTGGACCGACAGTCTGCTAGGATTTTTGCAGGGCTGTGTGAGTAAAGTGGGCCACTTTTCTCTCTACAGGGGTACAGATAACTCTCTTTCTCTCTCTCTCTCTCTCTCTCTCTCTCTCTCTCTCTCTCTCTCTCTCTCTCTCTCTCTCTCTCTCTCTC